CCTTTCCTTTCCCCTTTCCTTTCCCCTTTCCTTTCCCCTTTCCTTTCCCCTTTCCTTTCCCCTTTCCTTTCCCCTTTCCTTTCCCCTTTCCTTTCCCCTTTCCTTTCCCCTTTCCTTTCCCCTTTCCTTTCCCCTTTCCTTTCCCCTTTCCTTTCCCCTTTCCTTTCCCCTTTCCTTTCCCCTTTCCTTTCCCCTTTCCTTTCCCCTTTCCTTTCCCCTTTCCTTTCCCCTTTCCTTTCCCCTTTCCTTTCCCCTTTCCTTTCCCCTTTCCTTTCCCCTTTCCTTTCCCCTTTCCTTTCCCTTTTCTTACAGAGAATATGAAAACCCTCAGGTGTGTGTGAATGCCCATGCTTTCTCTAGAAGAAGCTGCCTGCACAATTCCTTTGTGAAACAACACATCAACAAGAGCTCTATCTTGCAGCTCTCCTGCCTGGCAAGTGGGAAAAAGAAAGATCTACAACACAGCATGGAGAGAGGGGAATGGGACAACCAGACGTTGCTGATGGAGTTCCTCTTGCTGAGACTAGGGGATGCCCATAAGCTCCAGACACCTCTCTTTCTCCTCTGCCTGACCATATACACAGTGACCATGGTTGGGAATGTCCTCATCATTGTGCTGGTGGTCATAGACCCGCATGTCCATACAGCCATGTACTTCTTCCTGGTGAATCTATCCAGCCTAGAGACCTGCTACAGCTCCACCATCCTGCCCAGGCTGCTAGCCAGCTTCCTGACTGGAGACAGGACCATCTCTGGGCAGGGATGTATGGCACAGTTTTTCTTCTTCGGCACTTTTGCAACTTCTGAGAGTTACCTGCTGGCTACCATGTCCTATGATCGGTATCCGGCCACGTGTCAACCTCTGCTTTATGCAAGCCTCATGAACTGGAAAGTATGTCTCCAACTGGTGGCTGGATCATGGGTTGTGGAACTGCTAATTTCTACAGGTATCATATCTTTCATATGTCGCCAAACGTTCTGTGGCCCCAGTGCAATTGACCATTTCTTCTGTGAAGAAGCTCCATTGCTAGAACTCTCCTGCACTGACATTACGATGATCAGAATTCTTATTATTATATTATCTTTCCTGGACGTAGTTTTCCCATTTCTGTTCACTTTGGCATCTTATGTCTGCATGATAGCTGCCATCCTGAGGATCCCATCCAGCATGGGGAGGCACAAGGCCTTTTCCACCTGCTTCTCTCACCTCCCTATGGTCATTGTTTTCTGTGAGACCCTCATCATTCTCTACATGCTGCCCAGAACAGCACCACTGAGACAGCTCAACAAAATGTTCTCCTTTTCTTACTCAGTCCTCAGACCTCTCACCAGTCCACTCATCTACAGTCTGAGGAACAGAGGCATCAAGGGGGCACTGGGGAGGGTGCTCAGGAGGGTGCTGCCTGCACTGGCAGCTCCAACCAGGTGTGGATTTCAGAGCACAAATCTGGTTCTCCTGCAAAGTGACGAAAGGAACATAGGAAGGAATGTGCTCCATCTCAAGAGTACCTCTGCAAATGTCTGGCTTTCACCTAGGATGTGCAATGGCAAGAGGCAGAGGGAGAAGAGGGCCTTAGGGAAACACATGCCCAGCTGAGAAGAGAAGGTAGTATCTTTCTATGGCTTGCTTTTTCCTTAGAGGCAATGGAATGGTTGGGGCTACTCTACTGTATGTAGGAAGTGAAACCAAATGCTGAGCTTCTCTTTATCAGGGAAGTGAATAAAGCAATCTGGGTTGAAATGTGACCTTGGTCTTGGGACAAGTGTGGCACCATTTTTTCTGACTGTGAGATCCTGGGGTGGGAACTGTCTTCCTTTAGCCATGCACATTTCCAGTGAGAAAGTCATTCAGACCATGACCCTGGTGTCACTTCTATTCAGTGGAGATCCTTGGCTCAACACAGCTGCTCACATGCCTGCTGGTGCCTCCTTTGGTTTGAGATGTCACTGAGTATCCCACACATCCAGGTGTGTCTGTCAGGAACATTTGGGGACATGATGCAGTGGCCTGTATGGATATGGGGAGCAAATGGACACAGAAAGGAAGGTGAAGGTATCTGAGAGGGTTCCTAGCCCTAACTGTGGCCAGCAGCACTCACACCTGTTACATCAGAGACTCCAGTGGAAACAGGTCTGTCATAAATCCACCTTGAGATCAGTGCTGAACACAGGTCACACACAGTATGCCTTCAGAGCACCTCATTCTTTCTTCAGTGTCTCCTGGGCCTATGGGGGAATCAGGTGGAGTGTAGAAGGCCCTTTCACTGTTGTGACACTCGTAAATCTCTGTTTCACCATTTACTTATTTACAGGGAATCCAGACTGCATATGGAGTTGGTGTTGGGTGGTGAGAGGTTTAGTTTTTATAGGAAGCATTTGAGAAGTATTTAAGATGCTTTAGACTTATCCTAAGATACGACCATTTTTTAAATAAGGTAAAAAATTGACCTTACATCCCATCTGCTTCCCTGGACTCATGTAGGCCCAATTTGGTTGTGTGCTCCCTATCTTAATCATTCTTCTCTGTGGGTAATGCTTCCCTCATTCAGATTCTGCCCTGGGCTCAGGGATGTGGTAAAATCAATGCCTCTGTATTGCTCCTGGGTAGCCCATCTGCTGACAAGTAGATCCCTGAACCAGATGAAGTCTGCTTTCATGGTTCTGATGCTACTATTTGTCTTTTCCACTTCTCTCAGGATCTTAAACTCTACCATCTCATGTTCACTGCAGCCAAAGCTGCCTTCGGACTTCATACTCTCACCCAGTCCTTCCTTTTAGGTGAGCAACTGGTAGAGCAGATAATTTATCCCAGTCAGTGATCAGTGGATCACCTGCATGAAAAAAATGTTTTTACTACACTGCAGATATCACCTGAGTTGCTTGTGATCCACTATGTTGCCCTTTCAGCAGATATCAGGGGAGCAGGGAGAGTCCCCCAGGAGAATGAGGACCTGTGATTGTGAGGCTTCCTCTAGCAGCCTGAAGAAGCCTTTGTCTACTTCCTCTCCTTGATCAGGTGGCTTGTAGTAGGTGTCCAGCATGACATCACCATGTTGGTCTGTCCTCCAAGACTTTCCCAGAAGCTCCTGAGTGTCTCTCAGTGGAGAGAAATGGGCAATCTCAGTTCGCCTCCTCCAAAAGTTACAGTACAGGTCAGGCAAGCCATGTTTTAGAAGGATCAATTTTTCTCCCAGTGGTGCTCAAGAGAGTTTAAAGCTGGCCTAGGCAGAAGAAAATTCACAGTAGACATCCAGGTTTTGTTGAGAAAACTTCCACCCAAAGAGACACTGTCTACACTGTCCAGGGCCAAAACAGAGAGATGCTGGACATGACAAAATCACTTTCTGCAACTCCTGTGTCAAGTCCAAGGGCTCAATGTGTTTAAGGGGAGGGTGATTTACTTGTGCTTTGTGTGACAGATGCAACTGATTACAGCAACCTGCCCAACTTCTCTCCTGCACATAAAAACCCTCTCCCTGCCTCCTCTCTCTCCCTAGAGTACTTTGGACATGGGTGTGAGGTTCAGCAATCAGATGGAGGTGCTTGTACAGGCTGGTATGGCAGGTAATGAGTTGCTTCTGATCATCTGATGAAGCAAGCCATACACACATGACAATGTATATTGGTCATGCAATTGGTTCACACCACTCAACTAGATCAGTGGACATTTTGTTCACATTGGCTTTGCCAACACATTCTGCCCTCTCCCTCATATTAGCCACATAGCCAAATTGTGGAGATACAAGCTGGGGAAATGGAGTTTAAGGTGGGTGAAAAATTCACTAGATATCTGGTTCAGAGGATTCTCACAAGAGGTAAATATTCCATCTCCCATGAAGGCACCTTGATCCACTGAATTTGCAATATCAGAATGTCTTTTCTTTACTAGAAACAAAAGGCAAAGGCTGAGACAAAAGAAGACAGAAAGAAATGGCATTGTCTTGAGAGCTCATTAAAATCCTCCTGTTTACCATCTCCCCTGCCCATAAAACCAAAAAAAACCCAACAAAACTTGAAAAGCTCCCTAATTGGCCACATGGGAATGACTTATCTTCCAAGTCTTAATGAGTGGTGAAAAACATTCCACACTTCAGTAGGGGCAGGGCTGAGTGGTGCTAGCCTTTAGGTCTCCTTGGGAGGATTGCACATATGTCTTTAAATCACTGCATGCAACCTGGTCAGCAGGAGCCTTGAGTCTTCCTCTCATGCTACTGTGGAAAAGCTGTTCCTCTAGGAACTCTAGGTGGACCCATGTGTGCCAAGGGGATCCATTTCTGTCTAATATCTTTTCAATAGTGCAGTGAACTGCACAGATTCAACACCAATATTAGACCCAAGTGAAGGATGAATAAACAGGTGGGTAAGCAGATGCCATTGATTTCTTACGAGCTTTAAAGATGGGCTTCTGCTCATGCTCTTTTTAGCCAACATCTGGCTTTGTCCCAACTAAAGAGATGCATTTAAATGAAGCGACCCAGTTCAGAGTGTAATTACATAACCTTCTACAGCCTGGAGTCAGATGAGATGGGTCAGGTCCTCTGGTGGGGCGTCTCATGATTCCTTTCATTTTTCCAGGTTTCCAAAGGCTTAATCGTCCTTCAGGGTTCCATTGCAGTTGCTTCTAAAGTGTTCATTCAGTTCTATCCCCATTTAACTTCGGAATATAAAGCCAGGTGTGAACCTTCAGGATGTCTGACTTGCTCCCCCTGGACCATTCCTCCACCACTATCCCAGAAGACTGAGTACACACACCTCCATCCCTTTGCTCCTCACCCAGCACTTGAAAATACACCTTAAAAACCAAGCTACAGAAACCTCTCTCTGATAGGCACTGCACATGACCAAAGGGAGATACAGACCTCATGTTACATCCTCTGGAGGGTGTTCTCCACCCACTAACAAGTCCTTTCCTGCAGTTGGGGGCTGGAATAGGTGGTTACTGGGAGGAAAATGTTCTCCTTCCACCCTAACCTAGATGCAGTGCCTTAGTCATCAGGTCCAACTTGTAATGACTGCTACTAGAAAGGATCTAATGAAAAATGGGGAATTGTTGAGACCACTTCTTGGGCAGGATCTCCAAAATGGTGAGGTAAAGGAGTCCCAGCTGCGACCCTTTCCAGGATGACTCCTTTTAGTTTGCTGATGTCCTCGTCAGATCAAGTGACTCTAGTGACCACAAAAATCCAGATGGGGGACACGAAGACAAACAGTACCATGCAGAGGAGTTATCCCTGTGATCAGGTTTCCCTCTGGCTTAGCTTGAAGGCCAAGATGAACATGACCTAGATGGCTAAGATTCCTTGAAGAGCTGCAGCACTTCCTGTTGAGGGGTACCAGGGGTACCAAATCTGGTAGCCCAGTAGAAATGTTTCCATAGTTCCATGTGTCCAGAGCCAACCAGTAGGAAGGCTCAGAATGTATTCCAAGTAAGCACACACACACACAAGCAAACCACACAGCTCAACACAGGCAGGTACACTCAGCACTCATATGAAAACAAAAAAGTACTAAGGGCATCATCCTGTTCCTCTCTCTGGCTGCTCAGAATGTCATTTAGTGGGAAATATATGTATACATATATACAGTGTAGATCTCTGGAGTATCTTGGCTTAGACACTCAGTCTACCCAGTAGCTGTCCTTTGGATCCACCAGGAGACATGAACACCCCAGATGTATGGGCCTTCTTACCCAAGGTCACACTCCAGTTGCTGGCACCTAGACCTCCATTCATACGGATTTACACAGAACAGAGAGTTCCTCATGCTGAGAAATAAGTAGAAATTGAATTTAATAAAAAGATAGGAGGCACTGCAATTATAAGGCTCAGGGCATGATCAGACAAGTTTACTGACCATCCACCTGTTCACATGTGACTGGTCCTTTTTATCCCTTTATTCCTCTGTTTTGCCACATTTGTTCCTCTCCAAATCACCTGGATCTTTCCCTTTCCCCACCTTTGGTTCCTCCCCTAAACATCCCATCATAAGCCTTGAGCAATCCCCACATGCTTTTATTGTGCATCCCATAATGTGTCCCATATTGCCAAGGAGTAATCCCCCTCAGTTTGAGCCAATCTCACTAAATTGATGGGCGTCACATCTAGACAATGGCACTGAGACCTAGAGTGTCCATTCCTCTCAGTACATTATTTTGGGTTCCCCACCTGCCATTGTGCCTCCATGCTCCTCTGGGCTTGTGGAGCCTTTAATAGGCTGACCACTCTCCTGTGATGGTCCTGGGACTCGCTGGCTGAGGGCATTGATCAGATTCCCCACTTGCCATTGTCACTTTGTGTTCCTTTGTGTATATGCAGCCTGGGATTTTACCACATAATCTAACACCTCCCGTTCTTCCTGTTGCACCGCAGTGGCCAAGCCTTCAAAGCCTGTTTGGAGGAAGGGGAAGAGCACAAAATCCCAGAAGAAGGTGGACAAGGTTATCCAGTCTGCCCTTGATGGAGGCTTTCTGGGAGCAGGTAGCCAAGGGACAGAAGGAAGAAGGTCTCAAAGAATCAACAATCAGCCCAAGGAGGTGGTGAGCTCCCCACAAGGTAGTCCAATGACTGGGGCATAGAAAAGAATGGGAAGGGGAAGGGT